TGCTGCTGGCGGTAGTACTACCGGTGGTGGTGTTTCGCGTATCTTCGCTTCTTCCTCCGCTTCTTCATCTTCGTTGTCTTCATCTTCTTCTTGTTTTTGATCGGAAATTAGTTTTTTACGCGACACAATAGCAGATGAAGGATCCTGTGTCGTCTGGTCCTTTCTTCTTGTTGCATCTGTTGATTCTTGTCCTGAAGCCACCGGCTTTTCATCTTTTATTTCGGGTGGCGAAACCTCTTTATTCCTTGCCTGGCCATCCTTGTCCGTGCTGACATCCCCTTTTCCAGCCGCAGCCGCAGCAGCAGAAGCAGCAACAACAGCAATCCGTTGACGTCTCCAACGACGACGGCCATCCACAACGGCACGCACACTCTCCATTGCCTGACGCACACACTCCTCGACGGCGGACGCATTCCCACTGCCTCCTGTCCTCCTGCTGACCTCCTCCGCGCATTCCCTCCGCAGCCAAGCACGCCACTGCAACAGTAAGTCCTCATCCGCACTGCCATCGCCACCGCCAACACCGTCGGCCGCAATTCCAGATAAACCGCACCACGGCACGCAGAGGGCACACACCAGCAGCACACGGCCAGCCATCATCATCGCCATCACTCCTGTCAGTTACGTGTAGCCTTCAGCGCAAACTAACAACACGTCAACGCAGAGCAAAAGAGAATTGCAAGAACGCTACACCACTCACAGCCACCAGCAGAAGCAACACGCAGTCCATGAGAAATATTAAACCAATTAAATTTTAAAAAAGCACAACGACATGCAAAAATTAAACAAAAGGAAACACACACAAAAAAAATAATAATAAAACAAAAAAAAAAAAAAAAGCAAACAAAAAGCAATAAAGTAAAACAGTAAAAACAAAAAAAAAAACAAAGAGCTGCACACAAATGGCTCCAGTGCGCATGCACCCATCCTCAACAGTGCATCGATGCAAACAGTCGTGTGTGTGTCGCGCTTGTAAGTGTGCCTGGAATGCGTTCCACGTGACGGATGTGAGAGCAGCAAAATGGAGCACACATCATGGCAGCCGAAGCAAGCAAAGCGAAACACAATCATTATTTTATCCTATTATTTAGTACATCGGATCCCAACAGCTGGCACGCACAAATCCCCGCGGTTGGGTGCTGGCACGCACAGCTTACAAACAATTCTTCAGCAAAGTGTGGTGTACGCCAGCGCGGATAGGGCGAGCAGCAGCGGGGCACACACCCACGCAGAGCTGCTGAGGCTGCCGTCGATTTCGCGAAGACGTAACGGTGCGCGGGTGGTCGTCGTTGTGGTTAGCGCCTCTGTATTCATGGCCGTATCACTTGGTGCCTTTGTTGTAGTGGTTGTTATCGTTGTTGGTGCCTGTGTTGTAGTCGTCGTCGTGGTCGTCTCGGCAGGATCTTCGGCTTCCTGATTTGCTTCTTCTGCGGATTGTCTTGTGCTGATTTCTGGTCCTGGAGTACCGTCAGGACCATGATTTTGTAACGTGTTGGACACGTCACCTGATTCCCGACCTGCAGCGGTCAAGGCTGGTCCATCTACTGCAGTACTTCCCAGGTCCGCAACAGACCCATTACCTAACGACCCTGGCTCACTTTTCCCCTGTGTTAGTGTCACCGATGGAGGGGACTGTGGACTCGCGGCGACAGAAGCCTTAACTTCAGTATGCGCAGTAGACTCTGCCGCGCACACAGACGGGCAGCAGCACAGGGCAAACACCAACAGGGCGCACAGCAGACGGCACGTCATCATCGTGAGTGTGGTCGTTCGGTGGTGTGGAGCTGATCTGCACAGTGAGGGACATGGAGAGCAACAGGGGAGACGAGAGGTGCGGCAGACACACACACAGAGGGCACACCACTTAAGGACAGGGCGGCGGCCAGGCATGCACCGTACGCCGCACACCACGCACGACACACACTCCAATCCACGGCAACAGGCACACACACACACAGCCCTGCCGCAACACCAACACACAGATGGAGGAGGGAGAAGCAAACAGGAGCGGCACACAAGGCTCCACCGCATGCACATACGGCGAGAGCGGTCCGTCGTGTCGGCACCCCTCACTGAGGGTACGCGCACACAAGAGGAGGTGCAGCGCTCACAGCAACAAAAAAGCAAAGTAACAATAACAAAAAAAGGAGATCCCCGCAAACCAATTGAATTACTGGTCCATGGGAAGGCTAGCCAACATTCATCGCAAAGCAACTTGTTATCTTGTTTTTGCTGTATGCTGTTACAATAACGAGTGAGTAGCGCAAGGACCGTCCGTACAAAAGTGGCAAGCATTCCGTCCGAAAAGTGCCGTCGTGCGGGCTGGGGCGCTCCCAAACAGTCGCATTCCCAATTGCCAACGACGGGGGCATTTCTGCAGTGGATGAAGCGAAGTCTCTCGTGGTCCTTCTCGAGTGCCCGCGCTTGTGCTTCCTGCGTGTCTTACCTGCTGGCACCTTCTGTGGCAACCTGTGCGCGAGGCGCCTGTTAAGAAGACGGTGGCATCATTGTGGCATCCGCATGGGAGGCCTTCTCCAACTATCGGAACGCCAGGCGGAGCACGTCGGACATGCGCCCTCATATTGTGGACGAACGAGCGCACTCTGCTGCAGGTTGGGCAGGATGACGTCAATCCGTCGCTCGCTGTTCGGCAATGATTTGCGGCGCTCACGTCGGGAAGAGGTTCTGGCGGAGGCAGCGGCGGGCCGGTCTCCTCGGTGAGGGAGGGACGGCGCCACCGACACAGAGGGTTACTTGTGATACGAAGGGCACGCGCAGGCCTGTCGAGTAGTGGGCAGGAATCGCACCGTGCCTTTGCGCAGAGCCGCCACTCGTGGCACGTTGTCCGGTTCGTGCCAGGAATAGAGCCCTTGCCACACCGACGGGCGCCTGTAATGCGGTGTACGCGCCCTTCCTTTTCTTCTGGGCATCCCTCCAGTACGGCCACCTGACTGCAGCGAGGAAGTCCACGTGCCAGATTGGGCCGCCCTCCTGCGGGAGGGATCGTGCAATCATGGCTTCGTCGTCAGCTGCCTCATTGCGTGGGATACCGCAGTGCGATGGAGAGAACATGAAGTTTACAGAGTGACCTCGCTGTATCAAGGAGAGCAGTGTAATCCAAATCTCTTCGGTAACGTATTCTCGCATGGCCAGTGGAACGACGCGGAGTGCCTCAGTTGCCGACGGGGAGTCCGTTGCCGCCAGGATTCGTGTGGGCGATTGGGTTGTTCCCAGAAAAAGGGTATGAGATGTATAATGCCATTTTCAGTGGCAAGGCACTCTGCTCTATATGAGCGTGCGAGCCTGCCAGCTGCTGTACGATGGACCTCCACAGGGAGATCATTTGTCGTGGTGGAGCCATACAATAGTGCAGCGGATCCAGATGCGAGTTCGGCGAGAGATGAAGAAACGTCTGTCAATAATTCAAAATCAAAATCTCCTAGAGAGGAGTAAATAGAATCAAAAGCCGTGCGCTTGACATCGTCAGAGGCGTCTTGGGCAAAGACTGGCTGACTAAATTCCACTTTATTGCAACTCACAGTGTCTCAGGGGAAAATTCGATGTTGAATAGGAGGAGCGCGATTGTGGCTGTGGGGTATCCCAATAGTATTACATGCGCGTTCTAATCCATTAGTAACAGCATCTCTCGGAAGTGGGATCGATGTCGCCGCTTTTCATGCATGGACGGCGGCATGGCCTCCAATCAGATTGCGCCACGCACGTCCTCAATATAACGGGGAAGTGTGAGGCGTTCGTGCTGTGTGGTGCGCGGAAACCAATGATCCTCCGCAGCGGTGCTGGATTGGCTGCCAGGTGGACAGAAGTATCCTTCTTTGCTGCGCGTGGGCCAAGAGATGCCGTGCAGCTGTCGCGGTGCCGCACTTCCAGGCCGTGGAGGTGAGTGGGGGCCGGACACGGTGCGATTGCCTCGCCGCCGTGGTGCAACGCACTGTGGACGCACCCAACCAGAAGGAATCGCGTGGTGTGCTGGGACGCACCAGCCTCTGCACCCAGCCGCAGCTGACGGCGGCGTGGCACGGTCCGCATCGCAGTCCAACTAAAGCATTGTTTTTTCATTTGCACTGTGTCGTGTGACGAAGGTGCGTAGGAGCTTCCCGTTCTGGTTGGAGACTTGCGATTCTGAAGAATGCGTTGCAGTTGCGCAGCGCCGTTTTGAGGAGCAGGTGAGTGCCTGTCTGCATTAATCAGCAAACAACATCTCGGATGACAGCAGGAGGCACTGCGGTTTCTCCTTTTTGTCGCACAGCGACTTTCTTGGAAGTCACGTTTGATTGGCAGCTTTTGGGCCTTTTGTGGGAGAAGGTGGGAGGCTGAAAGCATTAGGACTGAATTCATTTGGGTGGCTGCGTTACGTTGAATTTCGACCAGTCGTGGCACTCTGGTTTGGCAGCTCGTGTCTTTTGTTTACTTCCCACTGCAGCACGTGGATAACACTGATCCGAAGAACATTTGTTTGAACGCGTGTGAGCTGCTGCCGTGCGTGGCGCATGGACTATGTGATTGTGTGGGGAGGTGCGTTGGGGTGACGAATACTTCTGTTTGGCGTGTCGCGGTGTGTCGGAATGATGTTCGGATGACATGTGGAGGGTGTTGTTTGTGATTTGTGTGTCTTCTCTGGTGGAGCCGACATGTGTGCGGGGATTGTGGCGTTGCTGGCTGACAGTTCCACGTCACTTTTCAGCATTCCTGGATGTGCTGAGGAATGATGGCTGGCAACCAGCGTGTTGGTGCTGCTGGTGGGAATAAGTGCATCGGGAATAGGCCGTTTTCCTTTTTCCGTGCTGGAGCCGATGAACTGGCACGAGGGCACCGGCTGCAGGCTGCCTGCCAGCACGTGTGAGCAGCGGATCCATGCACACACAGACGCTCATCGCAAGAGCGTGTGCGATCACAGTGGCTTTTGTGGCGTGCTTTTATGGACGTCAACCCATCGAAGAATGTGTGAAGCAAACGGCTGACTGCACACGAGGAAAATAAGTGCGTGCACTGTGCCGTGTTTCAGCGTCGATGGCAGAGCGACAGGAAGCCCGTGCTGGCAACTGAGATCTTTGCGTCGCGAGGGATGTCGGTGTTGACTTTGGATCGTCGAGGGTGAAGTGATTTTGCTGCTGCCCGTGTGTGTGGCCACTCCGGCAGAGGGCGAACACAAAAGGGAGGGATGCAGGCGCTGCGTGTGTGTGTGCAGGTGCCATGCAACAACGTCACAGCAAACATGCTGCGACTCGGTGACCCTTACATCGCTGTGGTCCTCACGAACAGCCCAGGCACGGCCCACACCGATGCACTTAGTGGACGGAGTGAGGCATCTTTTGAGGCGCTGCAGGGAACAGGATGTGTTGACGCAGCCACGACGTGCATGGAGTGTCACGATGGCACAGTCAGCAGTGGCTGGTGGAATATTTACTTCTCGGAGGCAACAGAGAGAGAGAGAGCTGCTCCTGCTGCTTGCGTCGTTGCTGTCTTTTGTGGCCTCCCATGCCGATTATTGTCTGTCCGCTGATCATGGGTGGCATGCCTCCACTAGTGACGTCGTCTGCAGGCATTTCACAGCACCAGTGAAACACACATCACGTCGCATGCTTTGGCTGTGGATATGGTGTCGTGCATGCAGCCGGCATTATTTTGCCCGACTCCTTTTCACTGCCTTGCGACAAATGGATGCGTCGCCGCCCGAGTCGTTCACTGCAGCTCCGTGTGCTGTACTGCCAGCACAATACTCTCTTGTTGTCTGACGCCTGGCTGACAGTCAAACACCACTGCGTTGGGACATGCAAAGATGTGGACTGCCGCTCACGGTGTTGGGCACCACCGTTTGGATGCAGCGGCCACACGAGCGGATGTATTGTGGCACAATCAAATGCGTGAAGTACGCGGAATCACAGCGGCTGCAGTAATATCAACGGTGTGGCACCACGGAGTATGTGAGGGGGTGATGCATGATGAATCACAGTGGGCGGCATGCAAGGGAAGTGCACCGCGACGGAGCGTCATCCCGCCCTCAGCCTGCTGGGGAATGTACACCCACAAAATATATGGACGAGACACCACCAAACACACATACCCTTCTGTGCAGCAATAAATAGGAGCGAAGGTGCGTTCTGGTGTGTGGGAGTTCACTCACATATTTTCATTTCCACCGCAATAAACGGTGAGGAATCAGGTGCCACAGCAACGAAAGGAAAAACAAAAGCATGTATTGCAACACTTTACCAGCGAAAGGCAGGAACAACACAAACCGAATTATTGGCTGCACCAACACAAGCAAACTTCAAAAGAGGAAAGAAATATAATAATTGTGCACCCTGCAGAAATCCCCAACACACGACCCAGGCATGAAGGTTTATCCTCCGCAAAAAAAAAAAAAAAACGCATGCAGACATCTGCCAACATCCAAAAAGAAACACGAATAAATAGTTTCCTGCACTCTTCCATTCCTTGTGCTGAATATGAACGAAGGCCAAAGGCAACTGAATTGTTTTTGTGATGAATATTGGCTGCACTTCCCATGGACCAGCAATTTAAGTGGTGTGCGGAGATTATTCTTTTTATTATTTTTACTTTGTCTTTGTGTTGCTGTGAGCGCTGCACCTCCTCTTGTGTGTGCGCGTACCCTCCGTGAGGGGTGCAGTCACGACGGACCGCTCTCACCGTATGTGCATGCGGTGGAGCCTTGTGTGTCGCTCCTGTTTGCTTCTCCCTCTTCCATCTGTGTGTTGGTGTTGCGGCAGGGCTGTGTTGTGCGGCGTACGGTGCATGCCTGGCCGCTGCCCTCTCCTCGTGTGGTGTGCCCTCTGTGTATGTCTGCCGCACCTCTCGTCTCCCCTGTTGCTCTCCATGTCCCTCACTGTGCAGATCAGCTCCACACCACTGAACGACCACACTCACGATGATGACGTGCCGTCTGCTGTGCGCCCTGTTGCTGCTTGCCCTGTGCTACTGCCCGTCCGTGTGCGTGGCAGAATCTGCTGGGCATACTGAAGCTGAAGATCGTGAGGCTGAGGCTGAGGGAAACGGCACCAGTTTATTGCAGCCTTTATCAATGACTAAGTCTGAAGATGAAGATATTGGAAAGGCTGCCAGTCCACAGTCCCTTGTACCAGAGGGACCACCTAAGGAGATCGGTAACGCAGGGTCGCCAAGTAAGGAGTCTGGTGCGGAACAGGAAAGAGATGCCGGAGCGGGACCGAGTTCGACCGATGTTGTACCGCAACCAAAAGACGCAAAGAATGCGGTACAGATAAAAGATAGTGGCGATACGACAGGGTCACAAAATAGCAGGAATACACCCGCAGAAGAAGCAAATCAGGAAGCCGAAGATCCTGCCGAGACAACTACGACGACGACTACAACGTATGCACCAACAACGACAACAACCACTACAACAAAGGGACCAACGACGACCACGACGACCACTGCGCCAGAGGCACCAAGTACTACGACTACAGGGGCGCCAACCACGACGACCACCCGCGCACCGTCACGTCTTCGCGAAACTGACGGCAGCCTCAGCAGCTCTGCGTGGGTGTTTGCCCCGCTGCTGCTCGCCGTATCCGCGCTGGCGTACACCACTGTGGGCTGAAGAGGTGTGAACGGGCTGTGCGTGCCAGCACTCAATCACGGGGATTTGTGTGCGTGTTTTGGTCCGATTTATATCATAAGAGAAAGTAATGATTGTGTTTTGCTTCATTTGCTTACGCTGCCCTGCTGTGTGCTCCGGGTTGCTTCTCCACATCCGTCACGTTGAACGCGTCCCAGACACACTCATGTGCACAACACTGGATTCTTGTGTTTGTTTGTTTGTTTGTTTTTTTTTCCTTTCTTTTTTAATTTTTTAATTTTTTTTTTTTTTTTTTGCTTTTTAATCTTGTGGTTTTCAGGACGGTGTGCGAGTTCTGCAATCGCACTGATTCCATCTGTTTCGTGGTGTGTGCGGCTGCGGCTGCGGTGGTGGCCGCGTGAGAGTGAGGGAGAGAGAGCCATGCGCCGCCCGCACACACACTCGTCCTTCTCTCACTCTCTGTGTGTGTCCCCTTGCATGGACTCTCGCCCTCACCTCATCCCACGAGGCACACACATAATGTGCCCATTGTATATATTGCATGCACACCCATGCAGGCCCGTTGGTGCACTCTTTTGCACGACACGCACCGCTGCCGTCCTGCCTGGCTGCATGGGCGGAGCACCGTAACTGTTTCTGTTTTGTTTTTATTGCATTGAGTGGGCGACCTCTCACTCTCTCTCTCCCTGTGTGTGTGTTTTGCTTTACGGGAGCAATGAGAGTGTGTGCGCTGGTCGTCCCACGCTTCGGCTTTTTGTTTTGTTTTTCATTGTTTTGTGGTTGAGAGCACCCATTCCGCGGGCTGCGTGTGTGTGTTTTTGTGTGATGATATGAGTAATTTGCGTGTGTGCTATCTGCCTCTCTCTGCCGTTGCTTTCTTCTGACTCTCTTGTGCCGCACAGCTGCTCTGCAATTATAGGCGCTGCCAAACACACAAGCACATGCACACACACATGCCGTGTTTAAAACGCTGAGAATGCACGCACGCACAGGATTGTGGCTGCGGAGGCCCTCGCGGGGAGGGAGGGTGTGAGCTCGCCGTGCGTCCCCTGGACTTGCTGCGGTTTTGGTGTTGTCGACGTGCAGCAGTTGACTAGCGTGGTGTGGCATTAAGGGTGCCTGTGAGGAGTGCCGATTCTCACCCGCCAGCTGCACGTGCCGACGTGTTTCTCTCGCCGTGGATTTTCCGACGAAGGATTCTCTGATTGTGCGGGGCGATGTGCGATGGATGGTGCGGGAGAGACAACAGCAAAACGACTGGCGGCAGCGTGTGTGGGCGTTGCTCTCTGTGCGCTGACGCGTGGCAGAAGCACCCGCCGTGGCTTTTACTATTGATGGCAGTTGCTGTGTGTTCCCTGTGCACTGTTCTTCCTTCTCGTTCCGTGTGTCTGTGTGCATTTCAGTTGTTGTTGTTGGGAGTGACTGCGGCGGGGATGATGATGCCACTCACTGTGGATGGGTGACGGTGTTCACTGTTGTTCTTCTTTTATTTGTTTCGTTTTCATTCTCTTACGTAGGAAGCTACGAGCAAGTGCTAATTGCTACTGTGAAATTGTAAGGCACTGAAAGGACCAACAGCACACACACACACCGCCCACACACACATATTTATATGCTCTCACGTGTTGCTGCTGCTGTGAAGGCACCCCGCACACACAACCGTCGCCGCGTGACCGGATCCAGCGGAAGGAGGAGGGAAGGAAGAGAGAGTGAGCCGCAGAGGCCCAACATGTCCCGGCGTGTGTTTGCTTCCGCGGTGCTGCTTTTCCTCGTCGTGATGATGTGCTGCGGCAATGGAGTTGCGCAAGGTGATGGGCCACCGCTATCTCAGGAACCTGTACCGAAGTCACCGTTTGGTTGGAGAGATAAAACAGGTGATGAAACAGTGAGTTCGCTTCGTGTTCCCAGTCTTGTTGAGGTGGATGATGGTCAAGTGTTTGCCGTTGGCGAGGCTCAGTGCACGAAGGGAGGCAGCGGTTTTACTGGGATTGTCTCGGAGTTGTTGACATTGACTGATGATAAGCCAAAAGAGGAGTTGGATAAGAGTAACTTGAAGACACAAGTACCGGAGGGATGTATATTTGAAGGAGGGAAATGTCCTGCCGATAAAGAAGAGAAATGCGCCTGCCGTACAGCGGGTCAGGCTGTTTCCCAAAGCAAGACTAAAGTACATGTGAGCCGACCAACAACAGTTGTGAAGGGAAGTGATATTTACATGCTCGCTGGAAACTATAGTTGGGCATATGCCGAAAATGATCTGGCAGTTGACTGGGGACTCATGCTGGTGAAAGGACACGTCAGTGGTGAGAATAAAAAAGGTAAAAGAATTTATTGGAACGATACTTACGCCATTCCGTGGACTTATAAAGGCAACCAACACAGTATCTTGAAGCGGCTGATCGGTGGCGGTGGATCGGGTGTTAAAATGGATGACGGTACGCTTGTGTTCCCATTGGAAGGCACGACGAAGGAGGCCGACACCGAAGAGGGTGGAAAGCCCGTTTCGCTGATTATATCCTCCTCGGATAATATAAATTGGAAGCTGTCGAAGGGGATGTCTGACGGTGGCTGCAGTGTTCCCTCCGTCGTGGAATGGAAGGACAAAAAACTCATCATGATGACTGCATGTGATGATGGCCGCCGCAGGGTGTACGAGTCCGGTGACAAGGGGGATTCGTGGACGGAGGCACTCGGGACACTCTCGCGCGTGTGGGGCAACAAAAAGGGCGCAAAGGCCGTTAGAAGCGGGTTCATCACAGCGACTATTGACGCCGTTGATAATGATAATAGGAATGTGATGCTCCTTACTCTGCCGGTGTATTCCGAGGAAAATGTGGAAAAGGGTGAACTCCATCTTTGGCTGACGGACAATACGCACATTGTTGATATTGGGCCGGTATCCGGTGTTGATGACGCTGCCGCCAGCTCCCTGTTGTACAAAAGTGCTGGAAGTGGAGATACTAATAAAGGGGAGTTGATTGCACTGTACGAGAAGAAGAAGGACGGGGAAAAACCATCACCCGGTATGGTGTCTGTGCTTCTGACTGAGCAGCTGCAGCGGGTGAAGGAGGTGCTGACGAAGTGGAAGGAAGTGGACGAACGTGTCTCTAAGCTGTGCCCTTCTAAAAGTGATGTGGGGAGTAAATCAGCTGGCAATGCCTGCAGCACTACTGTTAAGATCACGGATGGGCTGGTTGGCTTTTTGTCCGGCGACTTCTCTGATAACACATGGAGGGACGAGTACCTCGGGGTGAACGCCACAGTGAAGAACAATGATGAAGGGGGTAAGAAGGCAACATTGCATGAAGGCAGTGTGAAGTTCCAGGGAGCGTGGGCGGAGTGGCCCGTTGGCAGTCAGGGGGAGAATCAGCTGTACCACTTTGCGAACTACAACTTCACTCTTGTGGCCACGGTGTCCATTCACGAGGTGCCGGAGGAAGGTAACTCCATTCCTTTGATGGGTGTGCGTCTTGACGGTGGTGAAAAAGGGCTTATGGAGTTGTCATACGACAGCGAAAAGAAGTGGCGGGTGCTGTGCTCTGACGGAACAACCAAGAAGCTAAAAAGCACTTGGGATCCAGAAACACAGTACCAGGTGGCCATTGTGCTACGGAACGGCACCCAGGGCTCTGCGTACGTTGATGGTCAGCGTGTGTGTGGAAATGTGCAACGTGAATTGGAAACCACAAAATCGAAGGCGATATCACACTTCTACATTGGAGGGGACGGAGGCAGCGCAGAGGGCCAAGAAGACGTGGCTGTGACTGTGACGAACGTCCTGCTGTACAACCGCCCGTTTTCATTTTCAGGTGAGAATGCCGATGTGGAAGAAGATGCCGATTCATCATCGGAAGATCCGGAATCAGTGGAAGCCAATTCTCCATCCGTGGAAGGGGAACAAATTGTGGACCTCCCTGCAACGAAACCTTCTGAAGCTCCAGAGGAACAAGCGGCCTTGCGACGGCCTCGAAAAGAAAGTGAAGCACAGCAAATAACAACGGAGGGGAAGCCTGCCACCACACAGCAAGTGCCCACGGCTTCGAACTCCCATGCCGTTGGAGGAGAAGCGGGTGATGCTGGCAATGTTTACAGAAGCGGGCTGCTGCCGCTGCTTCTGTTGGGATTGTGGGGGTTTACGGCTCTGTGAGGAGTGACTGGCTGCCGCGTGGAACACTTGCGACCTCCCCTGCAGCGACACACACACCTGGCAATGAATTTATTATCTCAAATAACTTTTATTTACTTCTCCCCCCGTTTGCTTTTTTGTGCGTTTTTAAGTTTTTCGTTCTGTTGCGCGAGTCCATGTGTGTGTCCTTTTTTCAAAATTCTTTTCTCTCTTTTAAATTTCTTTTGTTTTTTTTCTCTCACTCCCCCATTCCTCTCTTCTTTTTTTTTGCTTTTGGGGCAATCACTATGGACGTTTTTTCTTTTCTACTCTTCCCTCTTTAATTGTTTCTTGCTGCACTCTTCCTGTGAGGGGTGCCGTGTGTTTCCCGCCCAACTGCTCCACTCGCACACCCACCGACACGCTCATGACGACGGCCCTGTGCGCCTCGCCTGCTGCACGCATGAGGAGGGGCCGCGACGAACGGCGCGCTGAGGGAGCCGTGACGTGTGGGCGTGCGACGAGGGCCTGTGGGGCGGAGCACACATTTCTTTCCCTCTTGTTTTGTTTTCTTTGCGTTCAGGGCGGGCAGACACCCGCAGCGCCACACACACACACAGCCACACCCTGCCGCCGTGTTTTTCTTTAGGGATTTGTTTTGCTTTGCGTGTTTATTTCGTGCGGTGGCGCACCCTTCGGTGTCGGCCTCGTGAGCATTTCTCTCCCCTCCGATGATTTCTTTTTTTCTTTTGCTGCGCTCACTCTCCCGATGGAGTGACGCGACTCCCTTCATGTCTGCGTGCTCCTCTCAGTTCCCACACACACGAGTGACTGTGCTCTGCGGGCCGCACTCACGCGCCGATGAGAGGGCTGAGGGGAGCAGCAACACGCAGACGACCCCATGAAATATAAACGATGTGCGGACACATGGAGGGTCAGACGGTTGAAGCACACGTAACCATCTTTTTAATTTTCTTTTGAGGGCAAAATATATACAGACGGTTTGGTGTGGCCACACGGCTGCCAGGCGATTTTTTTCTTATTTTGTGTGGAACAGTAATGGACGATTTATTTTTCATTTATAATTATTTTGTGTGATGGGGTTTATATAAGAGGAAGGGGGACGTTTTTTTGTTTTCAATAAATATTGTGTGAATGGCCGCTGCTTGGGCTGCAGTCCACTCATGAGTTTGAGCGGTCTTCTTGTTGTTTTTTCCGTTGTGCGTCTCCGCTGTACATTTTTGTGCGTCTCTCCGCATACTCTGCTCCCTCTTTTCTACTTCTTTGCTTTGTGTTTCTGCAGGCACACACAACCACACACACAAGATGCACATTGCAGTGGATTTGAATGCACCTTTTGTAGTGCATGCTGGCAGTTGCGTGTGGCGGCTGTTGTCTTCTTCCGTGGCCATGAGGAGAAGGGAGAGAGGGAGCGCGCACCCCGAATCTCTTTTCCTGTGGGTGTGGAGCACCGCGTGCGGCCGCGTTGAGTTGGGCTCCGAGTGACGGCAGCTCGAGCTATCGTGTGTGTGGGTGTGTGTGTGTGCGTGGAAGAAGTGTTTTGCTGCCAGTGCTGAGGCTCAGTATGAGAATTATACTTTCAGTGGCTTTGATGTGCGCATGCATGGCAGGAATGGTGAGCTGTGTGCTGTGTGCCATGTGGCCGATGCGGTGCACACATGTAGCAACTGTGCTGCCAGATGTGCAACGAAAGAGGAAAAGGCCACCGTTGCCTTCACGATGAGTGTGACGACACACAAATACGCCGGCCCTTATGAATTGTGGTGGCGTCAATTTTCTCCCGATGGAACCATCCATCCGCCTGCACGGAGAGGCGATGCTGACCAGACGGGCATCTGTCAGTTGCCGCCACCCTGTGAAGGGAGGAGGATGACACAAAATCTGGTGGGACAACTGCGCCGCAAGTTAATGCTGAGCCGTCACGTCAGAACGAGGATTAGCGACAGTGTGCGGCGGCTGACGGACCCAAGACCGTCGATCGGAGTCCCGCATCCAACACGGCGACCAACACGTCCGAGACGAGGCCTGAGTTTGCCAGCAATCCGAACGAAATGATGGTCCCGAATGCATCCAAGAAGAGGCCTTCCTTTGCCAACGGTCCGAGAATATTAGTGGTGTCGAATGCATCCGGGATCATGTCTGTCACTTATGGCGGCAGGGAACACGTTGCTGCGGATAACACGGACGAGGTGAATGAGCGCAGCGCCACTGGACACACATCTCTCGTTTTAGAAAATGGCGTTGCAGGCAGTGGATTTGTTGCTGAGGGTGTTGCGGGTGGATTGACTCAACGCAATGCCTCTGGACACGAAAACCCCAATTACGAGAATTCACCGCGCAGTAATCCGGAAACGGTGTGAGACCCAACGACTGCTTTGCCCTGCGCAGCGACGCGAAATTGACACTGCGAGAGTTAACTCTTGACAGCAGTGTGCGTGGGCGCGTGTATTGTGCGTTGCTGCTTCTTCTGGGATTGTGTGGAGTTGTGGCGTTCTTCTGAGCCGAAGAGTGTGGAATTGCGACTCATCACGGAGAACATGTGCCGCGTTGCATGCGTGTTTTCTTTTATTATTTACGTTTTACTGTTGGTTTTGTTGTTTTCCTGGAATGATAAGTATCCTTGCTGTTCCTTTATTTAATGGTTAATTGCTGCACACTGTTATGAGTGACATGTTTCCCCTCTTTGTTTTGTTGTTTGTTGCCCACACGTGGTGCCGGCCTCATTGCTGTGCGTCCCACGGAATGCACGAAAGGAGGATTGGAGGAACAGGTCGGATGCCGCATGAAGTGTGAAGAATGTTGTGTTTGGGCTTGTGGAAGAGTACAATCTTTTTTACTTTTTTAAATTTTTACCGCGGGCATTATATATATATATATATATATATACTTAAACATACTGTCGTCTATTTTGTGCTGCGTGGCACATGAAATGAAAGTCCTGCCAAATGAATTTTATTTATTTATTCCGGGAGTCCTGCCGGACCCTCAACTCTGTTTTTCTTTTTTCTAAAACTTCTGTTTCGCAGGGCGGTGTTCGAGTTCTGCAATTGCACTGATTCCCTCCGTCTCATGGTGTGTGCTCTGCGGCTGGTATTTGTCACTGTCCTGTGCGGTGGCTGCGCGTTACTGTGTGACTTTTTTCTCTTTTTCCTTTTGCTTTCACTCTGCGATGACGGGGATTTGTTTTCTGCTGAAGGCTGCACGCAAGTGACAGGAGTGATGGCGATGATGATGACTGGCCGTGTGCTGCTGGTGTGTGCCCTCTGCGTGCTGTGGTGCGGTGCTGCAGTTTTGGTGTCGGCTGCCGGTGATGTTGTCGAAATGGAAAGTGAAGGATCCGAGAGTTTACCGTCTGGACGTCAAGACGGTGATGGAAGGAGTCATCGGGAATCAGAGGATTCAGTCCAGCAAGAGTCCGAGACCGCAAATGAATCGTTGGGTGCAGGAAGAGGAAAGAGTTCTGAAAGGCAGGATGGAGTTGTCTCCACACAACCAAGAAATTCCGACAGAACGGTCGTGGAAACGGAAACAGAAAAAAGTAAAAGTAAAGAAGAAAAAGGGAATAAAGAAAAAATGGAGAACATTGTAACTCCAAAGCAGGATGGAAAGATAACCGAATTAACATCAACGCCAGAAGAAGATCGAAAAACGGCATCGCCACCAGCTGAAGGAGCACAAACACAGGAAGAAACCCCACCGGGAGTAACGCCACCCGCACAAAATGGAAGCTCAGCAGGAATTTTAACTGCAACGCCAGGAAAAGCAATGGTCATCCCTGAAGGTAATTCCAAACAATCACAAGGAGGCAAAACTCCAGCAAATGGATTGGCAGCAGAAATGCCATCAACAAAAAAAGGGGAAGCTCCAGAGGCAATACCATCACCACCCACAAAAAATGAAAAACCAGAAGGAGATTCAAAAGCAAAAACAAATGCTGAAAAACCCAGCCCTGAAGTTATCGTTTCCGTGCAAAAAACAGAAATTCTCCTGGACGACGAGGAGGTAACAAGCAATCAACGAAATGAAGGCCTTGCATCAACCACCGGCAACCAAGAGGGTGAACAATCGGACGTTCATGCCGAATCGACACTACCATCAATCTCGGCTGCCAGTAATGCTGCCAACGATGACGCTGACACGGATACTGATAAAGGGATTCCGAATAATGATTCAGCCGCTGGTGGTGCAGCGACAGAAGAAAGACACCAATATGAAAATAAAGAAGACAATACGAAGGAAACAAAACCACTCAGATCTGCCGCCAACACAAGTGAAACGCTACCGCCTGGCGACAGTGACGGCAGCACCGCGGTCTCCCACACCACCTCCCCTCTTTTGCCTCTTCTTGTTGTTGTTGCGTGTGCGGCTGCTGCTGCGGTGGTGGCCGTGTGAGAGTGAGGGAGAGAGAGCCGTGCACCGCCCGCACACACACTCGTCTTTCACTCACTCTCTGTGTGTGTCCCCTTGCATGGACTCTCGCCCTCACCTCACCCCACGAAGCACACACATAATTTGCCCATTGTATATATGCATGCACACCCATGCAGGCCCGTTGGTGCTCTCTTTTGCACGACACGCACCGCTGCCGTCCTGCCTGGCTGCATGGGCGGAGCACCGTAACTGTTTCTGTTTTGTTTTTATTGCATTGAGTGGGCGACCTCTCTCTCTCCCTGTGTGTGTGTTTTGCTTTACGGGAGCAATGAGAGTGTGTGCGCTGGTCGTCCCACGCTTCGGCTTTTTTTTGTTTTTCATTGTTTTGTGGTTGAGAGCACCCATTCCGCGGGCTGCGTGTGTGTGTTTGTGTGTGATGATATGAGTAATTTGCATGTGTGCTATCTGCCTCTCTCTGCCGTTGCTTTCTTCTGACTCTCTTGTGGCGCACAGCTGCTCTGCAATTATAGGCGCTTGCAAATGCACAAGCAGAAGCACACACGCCATGCCGCACACGATATGGAGCGGCGTGAGTGCTGAGGACGAACGCACGTACAGGATTTTAGCTGCGGCGGCCCTTGTGAGGAGGGATGACGGAAGATCGCGATTTGTTTTGTTTCGTGCTAAGGACATGATTTTCTTGTCGTGCAGCAGTTGGCCAACGTGGTGTGGCATTGAGGGTGACTTCGGCTGTGGTGGACTCTTGCCCAGCAGCTGCACGTGCCGACGTGTTCCTCTCGCTGTACATACAGCGACGGAGGATTCTCCGGCTGTGCGGGGTTATGTGCGATGGATGTTGCGAGGAGAGACAACAGTAAAACGATTGGCGGCAGTACATGTGGGCGTTGCTCGGTGTGTGCTGACGCGTGGCGGAAGCACCCGCCGCGGCTCTTACTGCTGGTGGTGGCAGTCGCTGTGTGTTCCCGGTGCACTGTTCTTCCTTCTCGTTCAGTGTGTCTCTGTGCAGGTTTTGTTGTTGTTGGGAGTGACTGCGGTGGGGATGATGGTGTCACTCACTGTGGAGGGGTGGCGGTGTTTATTTATTCACTCCATTTTCTTTCTGTCACTCTCTTACGAAGAAAGCAAACAAGCGCTAAACGCTACTGTGAAATTCGAGGGCTCTGAAAGGACCAACAACACTCACACCGCCCACACACACATATTTTTATGCTCTCACGTGTTGCTGCAGTGAAGGCACCCCGCACACACAACCGTCGCCGCGTGACCGGATCCAGCGGAAGGAGGAGGAAAGGAAGAGAGAGTGAGCCGCAGAGGTCCAACATGTCTCGGCGTGTGTTTACTTCCGCGGTGCTCCTCATTGTTGTGATGATGTGCTGCAGCAGTGGAACTGTGACTGCACAAGCTAATGAGCCAACGTCAGATCCAAATTATAAATGGAAGGACGTCAAGGATGAGGATGGTGGTGTAACTGTGGAATCGTTGGGTGTTCCCGGCCTTCTAAAAGTGGGGAGTGACGTATTTGCCGTTGCCGAGGCGCAGTGCAAAAAGAACGGTGAAAGCGACATTTTTACTGGCATTGCATCCCAAATTATCACGAAAGATAAAGCTGACAAACCAATGGAAGTGTCAAATGGAGCCGAAGATAAGGCACAAGTTTTGGAAAAATACCATTCAGCAGCGGTGAAGAAAGTAGATGTGAGCCGACCAACAACAGTTATGCAGGGAAATGATATTTACATGCTTGTTGGAAAATACAGTCCTACAGCTGCTGATGAGAATAGAGGTGCCGGTGACGGGGGATTTTTGCTGTTGAAAGGGGAAGTTAGTGCTGACGAAAGTGGCGGTGGCAAAAGAATCAAATGGAAATATACCACCGATGTCCCGCGGGCATCTTTTGGCGAACTAGATTCGTGGACAGGGTTTATTGGCGGCGGTGGATCGGGTATTGAGACGAAAGACAGAACTCTCTTATTCCCAGTGCAAGGCACGAAGAAGAAGGGTGAAGCACAAAACGATGAAAAGGCCGTTTCGTTGCTCATATACACCTTGAAGGACACTAAGAGTTGGACGCTATCGAAGGAGGTTCCTGACGGTGGCTGCAGTGATCCCTCCGTCGTGGAGTGGGGGGAGGACAAAAAACTCATGATGATGACTGCGTGTGATGATGGCCGCCGCAGGGTGTACGAGTCCGGTGACAAGGGGGATTCGTGGACGGAGGCACTCGGGACACTCTCGCGCGTGTGGGGCAACAAAAAGGGTGAAGAAGTGAAGGCCGTTAGAAGCGGGTTCATCACGGCGACGATTGACGGTGTTGAAGGTAACAGAAATGTGATGCTTGTCACTCTGCCGGTATATTCCAAGGAGGACAGTAAAAAAGTAACGGGCAATGGAAAGGGTGAACTCCATCTTTGGCTGACGGACAACACGCACATTGTTGATATTGGGTCGGTATCCGGTGATGATGACGTTGCCGCCAG